ATGTCTTCGTCATCGTTTATAAACCTATGTGTTTACGGTGTCCACACTAGTCGGCAACCCCGGAGTTTTCAAACTTATCCGTCCTCGGGAGCGATTTTAAACTCATCCGCTTTCTGTGGTCTGAAACTCCGGTGTAGTCTGGACACTCGGTGTAAATGTAGCAAAAGATATGCATTTTAACATGGAAACGTAGTAGTGTGGACATGGCCTCAGATAGCTGGATGCTCGTGAAACGTCTTCTCCTCTGCGCTCTGATTTTTTTGTGTATAACCCTGTCAAAATTCCCAACCAATAGGATGCCAGGTGTAGTGTTTGCCAATGAAATGATCCGTCTTATTGTTGGTCTGGTTCTTGACGGCGGTTACTTTTTAACAGCGTTAATCCACTTCTGCCCCCAAGGCTTTAGAAGTACAGTTGTTAAAATATATCTATATATACTGTATATATCTATATATACTGTGTGTATATCTCATGTGTGTGTATATATATGTATATATGTACAGTATATATGTGTATGTACAGTATATATGTGTATATATATGTGTATGTATGTATATGTGTATATATATATATATATGTGTGTGTGTATATGTGTGTGTGTGTGTGTGTGTATATGTATATGTGTGTATGTATATATATATACTGTATATATATATATACAGTTGTGTGAAAAAGTGTTTTCCCCTTTCCTGATTTCTTATTTTTTTGCATGTTTGTCACATGCAAAAAAATAAGAATTCAGATCATCAAACAAATTTAAATATTAGACAAAGATAACACAAGTAAACACAAAATGCAGTTTTTAAATGGTTTTTATTATTAAGGGGGGAAAAAAATCCAAACCTACATGGCCCTGTGTGAAAAAGTGATTGCTCCCCCCCCCCCTGTTAAAACATAAATTAACTGTGGTTTATCACATCTTTGGAAAGCTGAGTTCAATTTCTCTAGCCACACCCAGGCCTGATTACTGCCACACCTGTTCTCAATCAAGAAATCACTTAAATAGGACCTGCCTGACAAAGTGAGGTAGACCAAAAGATCCTCAAAAGCTAGACATCATGCTGTGATCCAAAGAAATTCAGGAACAAATGAGAAACAAAGTAATTGAGATCTATCAGTCTGGAAAAGGTTACAAAGCCATTTCTAAAGCTTTGGGACTCCAGCGAACTACAGTGAGAGCCATTATCCACAAATGGCGAAAACATGGAACAGTGGTGAACCTTCCCAGGAGTGGCCGGCCGACCAAAATTACCCCAAGAGTGCAGCAACGACTCATCCAAGAGGTCACAAAAGACCCCAGAACAACATCCAAAGAACTGCAGGCCTCACTTGCCTCAATTAAGGTCAGTGTTCATGACTCCACCATAAGAAAGAGACTGGGCAAAAGTGGCCTGCATGGCAGAGTTCCAAGACGAAAACCACTGCTGAGCAAAAAGAACATAAAGGCTCGTCTCAGTTTTGCCAGAAAACATCTTGATGATCCCCAAGACTTTTGGGAAAATACTCTGTGGACTGACGAGACAAAAGTTGAACTTTTTGGAAGGTGTATGTCCCATTACATCTGGCATCTGGCGTAAAAGTAACACGGCATTTCAGAAAAGGAACATCATACCAACAGTAAAATATGGTGGTGGTAGTGTGATGGTCTGGGGCTGTTTTGCTGCTTCAGGACCTGGAAGACTTGCTGTGGTAAATGGAACCATGAATTCTGCTGTCTACCAAAAAATCCTGAAGGAGAATGTCCGGCCATCTGTTCGTGACCTCAAGCTGAAGCTCACTTGGGTTCTGCAGCAGGACAATGATCCAAAACACACCAGCAAGTCCACCTCTGAATGGCTTAAGAAAAACAAAATGAAGACTTTGGAGTGGCCTAGTCAAAGTCCCGACCTGAATCCGATTGAGATGCTGTGGCATGACCTTAAAAAGGCGGTTCATGCTCGAAAACCCTCCAATGTGGCTGAATTACAACAATTCTGCAAAGATGAGTGGGCCAAAATTCCTCTACAGCGCTGTAAAAGACTCATTGCCAGTTATCGCAAATGCTTGATTGCAGTTGTTGCTGCTAAGGGTGGCCCAACCAGTTATTAGGTTTAGGGGGCAATCACTTTTTCACACAGGGCCATGTAGGTTTGGATTTTTTTCCCCCCTTAATAATAAAAACCTTCATTTAAAAACTGCATTTTGTGTTTACGTGTTATCTTTGTCTAATATTTAAATTTGTTTGACGATCTGAAACATTTAAGTGCGACAAACATGCAAAAAAATAAGAAATCAGGAAGGGGGCAAACACTTTTTCACACAACTGTATGTGTGTATATATATGTATGTATGTATTTATGTGTATGTATGTATTTATGTGTATGTATGTATTTATGTGTATGTATGTATATATGTATGTGTATGTATATATGTATGTGTGTGTATGTATGTGTGTATGTATGTATGTATATGTATATATATATGTATATATTTTAGTGCTGGGCAAGTTAACGTGTTATCGCGTTAACGCATTAATTAATTAACGCCGACAATTATTTTATCGCGCGTTAACGCAGTTTTGTTTTTTTTATTAAGTGGACATTTTTAACACAAGAACCGACTGGCCGTCAGCAAGCGGTAAACAGCTGTTTGTGTGGCGTCTCTTCCTGTTTCCTTCACCTACATTCCCCTGGGTCCTAAGTCCCTCCATGTACAGCTTCTTATCACCCTCTATGTACCAACGTACATTTATAACAAATACCACACATATTACGGTGTCTTATACTACGTTAGTTGCGTCCAATAATGGTTGACGATGGAATATCACTGGAGTCAGTTGAAAAGTCTCATACAGAGACGTCCCGGGAGGTCAAAGCAGTGAGGACTACAAGGTGGATGGACGGGCCAAACAGACTCGGGGGACTGCTGTTAATGTCTACATTGATTTATTTTACCTTAGTTTTGTTATGTGACTAGCAGTTACATAATAAACAAACTTATTTTCCGTAATAAGTAAACATACTTCTTTTAACCCAAACCACAACCTTTTTGCTAAACCTAACCAAATACTTTTGTTGTGAAAGTAAAGCCTCCAGTACCTTCATTAAGGTCGTAATGTTGATTCACCTCTATGCTCATTTTATTGTCCATCGTGCCATCAAACTGGCCAGCTGCTCCATTCTCTCCACCATCAGTAGTTTAAGTACTAGCATCGTTACATACATATAACACATACATATATAAAAGATACAGCTTCCATAATAACCCTAACGTTGAATCAACACCTCGTGATTTATGAAGGGAGGATGTACAGCAGAGCTGTTGGATTCGACTTCATTTTTAGATAGGACACAACAGTGCTGATCAAAAGTGTTTCACAGATCAGAAGAACATGCAGCAGACACCACAGGACACAGTAAACATCTATAAAGCTGGACCAGCACAACATTTAGTCCTTGATCTGTGGACAGACAGAGTCTTTGGTCAGAGGATGTCTGACTGGGTACGGGGGCAGGAGTCCACAGATAGAAATATGGTTTCGACCATTTAGTGGTGTGTAAACAAAGAACAAGGTTTGAAGCTTCAGTCTACAGTAACGGGGAGCCAGGAACCTCAGAAATATGCTGTCTGTTTTTTGATCTTGTTAAAAATCTCGCTGCAACATTCTGTGCTAATTGGTGACTGGATGAAAAAAAAGTTGAGAGTGATACCAATATCCAAAAAGTTTCTGTAATGAGGAGATTGGATATGAAGGTGTGGACAACTTTCTCCAATTCTCTTGTGCTGTCAAACATTATACATCTGATATATCGGTTTATTAAACTTCAGTGCTGAATAAATGGCTATATTTTCTACATGTTTTGGCATAAGGAGATAATGTCCCAGATGTGGATAAGAGTAGTATAGGAGGATAACTGTTGTACAGAGATGTGGGTCAAACATGTGGCTCAATGTGCATCATTATGACCTTCCTGTTCTGTGTCGATCAAAGGTTAGACTCCACATGAAGTCAGTGAATGTATTTGTTCTTTTCCCCTCTTTGTGGCCTTTGTCTTGGGAAAGCACACTGAAACTCACCTGTAGATGGTAAGTCTGTGAGGCACTGCAATGCAGACAGGAGTCTCTGCTAAAGGAAGCTTTTACTGTAAACTGGCAAATCTGTGTCATCGTTGGATTTCTGGGTAATCTGGTGTAATGGTAGAATATAAATGGAGAAAAGGAGTTGAGCGCAGAATCCTTATTTCAGAGATGATGGCTATGTGGTCAGACAGGCACCACATTATGAGGCTTCATCCTGACTGCTACTCAGACACTTGTACAACGTGCTTCTGTGGGTCTGCTGTTTGCACAAGGGTGGACCAAATAGAACCTGATAGAAGTTTCCAAACTCTAACACGTTTCTGGACAGTGCCATCATTTCCTCTGGGTTCCTGTGTGATCCAATGCTTTCTGGAATAGTATGTAACGATGGGGGTAACATATAGAGAAGCTTTTACAGAATGGCATGGATTGATGAAACAGAATGTCTTCAGTATTATCGGGAAAAATGTAAAGGTTCAGCACTAGGACAACCCAATGACTGCCTGGTCCCCTCAGTCTGTTTGTCTCTTTTAAGAACTGTTGATTAGGTTTAGCCTAATAGGTTGTCTCCCCCTGCGTTACTCAGATTTGGGCCTACTGTTTGTCAGTTGATAATTTGTGAAAATGAGCTTGTTAATGTCATTCATGCTAAGCAGCCTGATGGCTGTGGGTTAATTTTGTTCACCAGGCTTTCATTTGATCACTGTGATACGTCACCACTCACTAAGCAGTGTCATTGTTGTTGACCCACAATCTCACACTCGGTCTCTTAACCAAACCTTGGGATTCATCCACCGTGTCCTCTTGGAGCTGCTCTGTCAGCTGCTCTGGTTCCTCTGTTCAATAGATGGATGCATCACTTTTAACGAAAGCTCCTGTTCCACTGTGAGACGGTCTTCTCCTGCTCTGAAATCTAACTCTTCTGTCTGTTTGTCCTTTAGGAGGAGGCAGCCAAGCCGAAGAGTCTTTCCTCACAAAGATTATCTCCAAAGTGGTGTTTCCTAGACTGTAAGTACACTTTCTTAATTATCTACTTTCTCCTTGATCAGTTTTTCCACCACCTGGACTCACTACTTGTATCATGAATTTTCCACATGTGCATACATTACCGACAGAAATAGCATAGTTTTCTTACTGCACATAATGAGAGCACTCGGTTCGTACTGTGCTACTCTCTGTAATACACTGAAGAGACAGAATATACTGTTTATTCTCACTGACACAACATGGCTTTCATATCAGTGTCAAACTGTTTATTATATGAAAATGATATATGTAGTAGACTTGGAATGATTGGAATTATTGTACGTTCTCCTGTTACAAGAGCAAAACAAAAGTACAAAAGACATTTTCCTTCTTCCAGTCTGCTTTTATAACTCGATTTTAACTCGGGTCAGAGCACACACACTAGCTTTTACCTTTTTGCAAATATACATATGGTGTGTATCTTCAATGTTTTATTTGAGAGAGATTTTGTAGTGCGCTTCAAATAAATCTTTCTATCTGTAGTAGAGTGGTAATAAAGGTTTATGGCTACAAAGCATAGAAATGAACACACACGTTGCGTGAAAAGATTGTGTGTGCTTATGCTTGAGAATATTTATTGTGCATGTGCAGCATCACCCCCACCCCACACCAGACTCCACCAGACTGTGTGAGAGTCTCACACAGAATGTGGAAAAAATGTTAATAAATATAGCGGAAAAAGGCAGAAACCATAGGGAGAGCAACAGAGGAAGGATCCCTCTCAGAATGGACAGAAGGGCAATAGATGTCATGTGTACAAACTAAACAACATAATACTTACAACATAGTCAATCCATATGACATAAATGATTCATATGAGATTAGTAATAGCAGTAGTAGCACTAAAAATAGCAAGAAAATAAGAAGTCCTCTGGCAGTCTGGGCCTATAGCAGCATATCTGGGGGCTGTTCAAACCTGAGCCAGCCCTAGCTAGGAACCACTAGAACACTGCATTCTGGGAGTGCAGTGTTCTAGTGGGGTAATAGGGTACTATAGAGGGCCTGACCAGTTAGGTCAGAGCTTTGTAGGGCTGGCTCAGGTTTGCCTTGGACCAGCCCCTAGATATGCTGCTATAGACCAAGACTGGCGGGGGACTTCCAATGACACACTGAGCTCCTCCCCTCGTCCTCTCTCTCTCCATCTGTGTGCATTCATGTCCCATTAATGCACATTACTAACTTGTCTTCTTACCCGAAGTCTCTCCAACAATAGTGATGTAGTCCTGATCCAATAGACGGGGTACCCGAAGAGAGGAAATGCCATATAAATACAACATTCCACATCAATGACACCAAAATAGCACAATATTAGGTATGCAAACACAGTTATTGTTGAGTAGCAGTCGTTTGATTTCTGCTTCATTTAAAGAAGGTTATTTTTGATGAAATGCATACGTACTCAAAATAATATTGTTCCATCTGTTCTTGTTCATTGGTGAATGTCATGAATATTAATCTCATACATTCAGCAGCAGCTTACCAAAAATATCACAGAGAAAAAACTACACACACACACACACACACACACACACCTCTGGCTGGGTAGAATCCTGGTGGAATTTAGCAGAGAACAAACAAAGATGCAGAACCGCTAGTTGAAGGAGAGAGTGAGAAGGAGAAGTGTTTGAAGAGGATGAAGGAAATATGTGTTGTTTGCAGGTGATCCATTATTGTCGTCCTATGGATTAATTAAAGGAACTTTTTACTCAATAGTAGCTTTTTAAAGTGACAGCAATATGTGAAGTTTAGTTCAACCCACCAATGCAAAGACTGATCAGGTTTTTATCAGAGTCCTTTGATCCTAAACCACTGTGGCTGAGTTTTATTTATCAGGGACAGTGCTTATTAACCAACATTACAATTAGTTATCCGAGATGTACTAATTGTCACGCGTAGGATGGCCACCGTCTCATGTTAACAGCAGTTAGACACATTACATGGACATCTTGAAGCCCCCAGACCAAAAGTGAATGAATAGAAACAGGGCAAACCAGACCGGTCAACAATTCACTGCTCGTTTTCTCTCCCTTAGGACAAGGATGGAAGACATTGAGTCTGCTATATACTGTGTGAAATCCCTTCATGTTATGCTGTCAGACAAAGATGGACTGAATGGGCTTTTGCTTGCCTCCAGGCTGTCACATACAGCTGTTCAGCAGTGGGGAGGCAACCATGTACATTTGAACAATGATGAATGCTATTTGCTTTTTGGCTACATCGTTTAGTGACGATCTGACTTCAAGCAGCTGAATTTAAAGAGCATCACCACAGAAAGTAGTTCATGTTGCATTTCTGTTTGTCTCTTCAGCTACAACGGCCGATCGTTTCTACAGGATAGACAGAGCACAGGTAAGTCCATCATGTCTCTTTACCACACAGAGCACCGCCCATGTCTGCATTCTAGCTTCCTTTGGGGAGAATCATCAGTAAATATAAACAGATGGAAGGACTTATTTACTGGATTAGTGGTTTCTGCAGTCTTCCCCACAGGCAGCATGGGGCCAGAGCAACCTTCCTCCCAGAGGATAGGCCAGCCCATATGCAGCCTGAGGGGAACCAGCAGGCCACACATCACCTGCTACTGCTCACAGAGCTCATTACTGGAAGCACACGGTACAGACTGAAGGCGACAGAGGTCAACTCAGAGCTGCTCCACTCTGGATTCAATGATATTTTAGTGAGTGAATCAAACTATAAAAGAGACGGAGGACAGCAATAGGGTTTTGAAAAGCAGATGTCCACTGTTTCATTAACATCAACACAATTTGGTTTCTTGCCAGTTTCATAATTATTCATTTAATTATTATTATATTAAGTAGTAAAGGTATGCTAGGCATATTGTTCATACAGCACAGCTACAGAGGCTTCTGCTGCATCTGGCTACTGTCTTAATATTCAGCTGTCGGAGGCAGCGTCCTCCTCTGATCCACTGATCCACAGTCTTCTCGCTTCACTGTGGCTGTGGGAGCAGGTGCTCCACCTCACTGTCCACTCATTGAAATATGCATCATGTCACTCAGTGGAGAAACGGTTATTTCACTCACTTTTCTCCTCTCTGGGTGTATATAGGCGATATCTCGGAGCCGGTTACACTTTACACACTTTACAACCACCATTCAAAGTATTTTTCATTATTATTAAACCACCAAAAAGAAAAAAATAATATCCATGAGAAAAAGCAGTGTATCAATATGTTTTGCCTATCTTCTATAAATAAGCAACACAACTGGTTTTTGTGTTGGTGTTTGGTTAATGAAGGCTTTTTAATCACATAGTCATGTACTTTAAATGGATATGTTTTTGTTTAAGGAATCATGTGCTATATACAAATACATACAATACAAATAGCAGAGTAAAAAATATGAACAAATATCAAAATGCACAATATATATAATAGAATAATATTAAATGAACTAGGTTTACCAATCAATCAACAGTGTGCCGGTGACAACAGGCTCTTGGTATGAACTCACTGAAACTTCATGTTTTTCAGGAACATCTCAACTATGTATCAGAAATCTCCCAAGAAGAGATCTTCATCCTGGACCCTGAACTGGTTGTCATGATGACAGTAGGCACCTCCCCCTCAGCCATGCCTGACCTGGTTAACCCCGCCTCCAGCCTGGTAAACAGCAGGTAGGTCACCACCACAGTGGTGCTGTCAGTGTCACCAGTGGTTGAACCTTAACCTAAGCTCACTAATCGGAGCCAAAAGCCTTAGAGCAGCACAATAGACCCTTTTCGTGTTGATGTCAGCATTAGTCTGCGACCCTGGGGCCAACATGAAGGGTTCCTCATTCATTTCAATGAGATGACTCATTGAAATGAACCCCCGCCGCAGGAGTTCATTCTACAAAAGCCTGCAGCAAGAAAAACATCACAGTAGTGCAGCACAACATGTGCTCCTGATTGCTTTTGTAATGGCCTAGTGCAGCATTCTGTGATAAAACAAAGAGCAGGAAGAATGAATATCTTGGAGGAGAACATAACTGCTACTGGGATACGTTTCCAGAGGTGTACAATCCTGCCTCAAAGAAGTACAAACTGCCTCATGTCGTGTCTCGGAATCGAACTTCCTGGTTGGTAGTCTGATCTTCAGTGTGTGTGCCTGTGTGTGCTGTAAAATGCATTGAATAAAGGTGCTATGTAAATGCAAATTGCATGGCGCTGTGGTGACGTGTCTCTCTCTCTCTCTCTTTATTTATTTAATTATTTTTGCTCTAAGGTTTATGTTTTACATAACATAAAGCAGATATGCAGAAGCATAACATTGAGAAAGCAATAGGATGTCAGGTTCTTAAAGCAGTTTCATGTCCATGTACAGTAAATGGTAGTGTGGGAGGGGCTCGGTCACTCTCATTGGTTGAGTGTATGCAAATGTCGTTGTGCTGCTTCACAGTTTGAGTTGTCGAGCCAGTTAGAGGGAAAAGCCTGCATGAAGTAGAACTGCATCATTCTGAGGCGAGTGTGTGTGTTTGTATGCATAAGTTCATATATATGTGTGTAGGTGTATAAATACATGAATAATATTTTCTATCTTAATTTTTCCACAGTTTCTTTTCCTTGAACAAACAGCCAAGCGTTACTATTTGCTTTGGTTGTGTGTGTGTGTGTGTGTGTGTGTGTGTGTGTGTGTGTGTGTGTGT